CTGAATCCTGACTCAGTGGGACCTTTGGCAAAGTCACTTAACTTGTCAGTGTCTATTTTCTCATCCATAAAATGAAGGCACTAGATCTCTACAGGCAGCTGGGTAGTGAAGTGGATAGATTGCTGGACGTGGAGTCAGGAAGACCTGAGCTCAAACCCAGCCTCAAGCTCCTACTAGTTGTATGACCCTGGGGTGTTGAGGGGGAGGGGAGAGATAGAATCTGGAACTGAAAGCTTTAAAAAATAATGTTATTAAAAAAAAAAAAAGAAATGCAAGCAAGTGTTATGAGGACTAAGTGAGAGAGAGAGTGTGATCTGTACCAGCAGGGAGGTCCCACCCTGACAAAATCGGGAATCAAGAAGTATCTGAAAACATTTTAATGTTACTTATTGTATACTCTGTCTTTATTTAACTGTGTACATGTTGTTTCACCCTAGTGGAATGTATGCTTCCTGAGAGCAGGGGCTATTTCATTTTTTATCTCTGATGTTTAATAATTGCTTGAATAAGTGAATTAATGAATGTATGCATCCTTAATTAGATGATTTTTTTTATAAAGAAAAGAAAAACTACCAGGAAGCTGCTCAAAATGAGACGGACCAGTTATTTCTTTTCCTCATCAACACTGTCAGGTTTACCCTGATCCAAATGTAATATGTTCGCTCTGGCTTCCGTTAGAGATGATCAATAAGACAAATGGAGAAATGACTAAAATGTAAGTAACTTGGCACATAAATCACTTCTCTGCTTATAAGGAAGGACTCTTCAGAAACTGAACCATTTCACTCATTAAAGCCCTCGTAATTTGCTATTATCGAAGCCAACAGGAACCCCAGGCAGTTCTAAGTCATTCGATTTGTTTGTGCCTTCTCTTTTCTACTTACTGCTGCCATGGCAACTGCCCATTGACCTGCCCATCGGGGGAAATAGAATCTCTGGAAAGACCCAAAACGTTTCATAAATTCGCTTGTCAATGCAGGTCAGGAAGGAGCAGACAGATTTTTACTGAATGACTTACAAAGCCCACTAATGGAGCGAGCAGCCCCCACCATCTCACTCCAGCTTTGGGGAGGTTCACTTAGCAAGGACCAAACCATCTTAAGAGACTGAGGGGATAACCAGTTTCAGCCTCTCCTAGTTAAGCCCCTCTCTAAGCTTGCCTCCATAATTCAAATTTCTGTTCTCTACTTTATTTCTTTTGTTGTTCAGTTGTGTCTGACTCTTCATGACCCCATTTGGGGTTTTCTTCCCAAAGATATTGGAGTGGTTTGCTGTTTCCTTTTCCAGCTCATTTTACAGATGAGGAGACTGAGGCAAACAGGGTAAAGTGACTTGCCCAGGGTCACACAACTACTAAGTGTCTGAACCTGGATTTGAGAACGAGCTACACACAATGGAAAAAAAAAAAAAAAAGAATAAGCAGAAATAATGCCCAAAGGCAGTGGAACCCAGACAGATTGTGGTGAGCAATCTTGGTCCCAAAGAATGTACGAGTAGACAAACCTAATCTCCTCTTGGGGAGAGAGGAAGGATCATGGGCATAGAATGTCGCATTTGCTATCAGACACAGTCGTTTGGCCAATTGGCTTGGTTTAATGGGTTTTTGTATTTAGAATCACAGCTCTAGAACTGGGAGACACCTCAGAGACTACTGAATCATGGGATTCCTAACCTTTTTGTGAACCCCTTTGGCAACCTGGGGCAGCCTCTGGACCTTCTTCTCAGAACTATGTTTTTTAATTTTGTTTTAATTTAATTTTAATTTAATTAATTTAATTTTAATTTATAATAGAAGAAAATGAAATTTCAGCTAGAGGCTAGTGAAAATAAAGATGTCTTTTTTTTCCCATCCAAAGTGGCAGGTCCCTTCAAATCTATATCTATGTTGGAAGTTTATGGAAGTTATTAGTGATTTGACTAAAGTCAAACCAACTAGGAACATCCAAAGATAGGATTTGAATCCAGGCGCTTTGACTCCAGAACCAAGGCTCCCTCCACTTACAAGGTAGGGTTCTAGTTAGTGTGTGTGTGTGTGTGTGTGTGTGTGTGTGTGTGTGAGAGAGAGAGAGAGAGAGAGAGACAGAGAGAGAGAGAGAGAGAGAGAGAGTAGCACAGAATGACTTTGGTGTAAAAACAAAAGGCATCCATAAACACACATGGACACAGACACATACAGACACAGACACACATACACACGTGTGCAAGGAGAGGAAATCACCATTCAAGAAAATGACTTTGGAGCAGACTTGGTAAATAGAAATTAAAAAATTGCTTAGGATGAAAAATAAACAAATTGTGAATCCAGAATATAAGACTTTTTCCCCTTAAAGCAAACAAACAGCCAGAAACCTTACCAACTCCCCCAGTGATTTATTTCAAAAGGAAGCAACAGTTTCTCTGGAAACACGGAAGCTCTGAGAAAGGAGAAGAGATGACAAATCATTTTTTTCACAGAACAGCTGCTGGCCGGATGGAAACTCATTCTCCTGGACTAGAAAGCTCAATTAGAAAATCAATTAAGACCACCTTTGTTTCCTGCCAACATGGCAAGGTGACCACCCTTTCTCCTCCCTGTTTTGGATCTGATTCCTTGTAACCCTAGAAGACCACTGGAAACTCTTTGGTCCTGGTGCTGGTCATATCTAATTGGGGGGGGGGTCAGGGAGGAAACAGAATATTCCATTTTAATAACAGATTAGCCAGGAGCAGAAGGAACAGTCTTTGCCCTGCCCTGCCCTGCCTCCTGATATCTGTCCTCATCCTTGCTTGCTTTGGAAGATCAGCTCAGCATGGGCTCCATCATTGCAGAATCATCTGGCCGGCTGTCACTTTGTTTCAGGGGAACATGGTTAGGGCTGAGCAAAGCAGATGGTTTGTAAAGGGGCCACATCCAAAAAAAAATGCTGTGAGCAAATTGTGGTGGTGTCTTTCAGAGTTGTGGGAACAGGGAAGAATGAAATTAGCTCTTGGCCATCATGTCCCTCTGTCACAGGGTTCTTACCCTTTTTCTATCGCCGACCTCCTTGTTAGTCTGCTAAAGCTTATGGTTGTCTTCTAAGAACAATATTTTTAATGCATAAAATAAAAAAGCCTGGGCTTACAAAGGAAACCAATTCTATTGAAATACAATTATCAAAATAGCTTTTTAAAAAGAAGTTTATACAGGTTAAGAATGCATCTTACATCAAGGGCAGCTAGGTGGCACAGTGGATAGAGCACTGACTCTGGAGTCAGGAGGACCTGAGTTCAAATGTGACCTCAGAAACTTACTAGATGTGTGACCCTGGGCAAGTCACTTCACCCTGATTGCCTAGGAAAAAAAAATCCTTGCATCATATACCCATCTTCCCCCTGGACATCACCTACTCTCAGTCAGTGGCTTTCTAATCGCCTCAAAGGCAAGACCAATCACAGGGAAGACTATAATCACTGTCTTCTAACCTTCCCAGGCAGAACACTGATCACAACCATCATCCTGACATTCCCAGTGAAACTTTTCTAGTGAGTAAATCAATAAACATTTATTAAGCAACTACTATGTGCCAGGCACTGTGCTAAGCCCAGATGATACAAAGAAAAGCAAAACACTGGTTTCAAGGAGCTTTCAAAGTCTAATGGGAGAGACAACGTGAAAACAACTAAGTACAAACAGGATATAGACAGGACTAATTGGAAATAAGCAACAAAGCGAGCCTTGGTGTCAAAGGGGATCAGGGAAAGCTTCCTGTAGAAGGTGGAACATTAGGTAGGACTTAAAGAAAGTCAGGAGGTGGAGATGAGGAGGGAGCGAGTTCCAGCTGCGGGAGACAGTCAGTGAAAATGCCTGGACACCCTGGAGAAGAACATTTATAAATAATGACATTTTTGTGGAATTGGGGCTAGTCTCCACTTTGGAAAGTAATTACATCAGACTGCAAGACTTCAGAATTCTGATCAAGGTGCAACCAATCTTGATTGCAGAGACCTGGTGGAGAAGCATGCCTCCCTTCTAGCAGATGGCCGGTAGACTCTAGGTGTGGCACAAGGCAGGCAATTTCAGACACTGATAGTGATTTGTTAGAAGGCTACTAATTTAGGCACGGGTTGTCTCCCTGAATGAATGTAAACTCCAAAGTAGAACACAGTGCCTGGTTCCTAGTAAGTACTTAATCAATATCGGTTGATTGGTTGATTCTGTTGTAGTGGGAGGAGAGTCACTGGGAAGTGGTATTAATATAAAAGAAAAGACATCAATACAACATTAAAAACAAATTGGAAAAACTAAGATCTGTATCCCAAATACCCACTAATTCGCTTTGTGCATGTGTGGATAATGCAGCGAATTGAATGTACTTCTCACTGTGTGGGAAATAGGCCAGTAGGGTTCATAATCACAGGATATCCAGATCTCAGAGATGCAAACCTAGGAGGCTACTGAGTAAGTCTAACCTGTATCTGGATAGGAATCTTCTCTCCAAGGCATTAACTGCTCACTGAACTTCTGCTTGAAGGTTTCCAGTAGATGGGGCAATCTACTGCTTCCAGCCCATTCCACTTATGGGTAAGTCTCTTAATAAATGCTTGTTGATTGATTAACTAGGGAGATTTGCTTTATTTTAAGGTTAAATCTGCCACTTTGCGACTTTTCCATATTGCTCCTTGGGGCAATGCAGATTAATGGTGCTCCATCCTCCATTTGACAGCCCTTCAAAAATACTGACACATTGAGCGAAATGCTAGGTTCAAATACTAGTTATTACCTATTCCCTGCTAAAGGTAGACATATCTTCAAATAGCAATGAAAGGAAAAGGGCTCTTTGCCACGGTCATTGGTTAATTTCAGTGTTCCAAACCATATTTTCAATGTCTACATAACGAACGGTGAGTTGAAGTGATGCTCCCCTCAGTAGGATCACTGGGGATTTTCAAAGCACTTCAAAATATTTTTTAAAAATCAGCCAATTTTTAAAAGAGGAATAAAACCCACAAAGGTTATTTTCTTTCTACAGATCGAGCTTTACCTTTTCAACTGCCGGATGCTCTTCGCTGGTTACGCTCGTTTTTCTCGATTCGTGTTTTGACCTGCTCAGTCTCCTGGACACCTTCTCTCTTAGCAAAGTGGCGTAGCCAATGTGTTCATAGATAGGGTTTGTTGTCATTTTGGAAATGTACTCAGAGGCTTTTGTTTCTATGTACAGCGTGATCAAGCCATCTGTCACCAAGTCATGGATGGATTCAAACCTCTTCTCTCCCACAAAGTGTTTCCCATCGTAGAAAAGCCGGTAGTTAAGGGTCTGGTTTCCAAACCTGCATATTTGAGAATGAGAGAATTCATTAGCAGCCATGATGAGAAATTCATTATTAACAACAATGAGCCAGACAGACATGCAAACAACGCTAGCGTCGCCATTCATCTCATCCTCAAAGAGGAACCACAGTATAGGCCAGTTCCAACTTACAAACAACATGAGGGCTGGTCTAGAAATAGCCAGAGGTACAGAGGGGGCAGGGACTTGTTGCCATTACTGTAGGCTACCCTACTGCTTCTACAGTATTAAAACCTCTGTGCTCCTCTGCCCCACTTGGCACACCCATCCTCCTGCCTCTAGTCCTGGGCTTCTCAGTCACGGGGTCCATGGAGTTAATACCAAGGGTCTGTGACTGTCATTTTATCTTTATTTAGCTCCAACACAATATGCAGCATGAATGCCAGCATAATAAATAAGCAAATATCCCTTCTGTGGACTGAATAAATAATATGTCTCACACATATATATGTCAGACTATTTTTCAAATGTGTGAAGATGCTGTTGGGATAAATGGAACACACATTCATTTAAAAGCAGGAATTGGTACAGCAAACAGAAAAGTGGCCTCAGAGTCAGGAAAACCTGCGTTCAAGTCCTGTTAATGACTGAAGGGAGCTCAGCTGGCCCTAGCTCCCCAACCACATCTTCCTGCTGTGCCGTGGCTACCACTCCTGCTGGACAGCCTTCTAGCTCCTGCCCTGGGGCCATGTTAACTGGCCGCCTCCCTCTACCACCCAACTATGCTCCTTCCTTTTGTACTGCTTGCTTTGACACCAACTTCGGGTCAACAGAACCATTGCTTAAGGAAAAGGATGTCATCTAATTGCTCTATGACCCTACTCATCACCCCTCTGCCTTTACCTTTCCTTGGCCACAATTCTCCTATACACATTGTCTTTCACTATTAGAATATAAGCTCCTTGAGGGCAAGAATGGCCTCACTTTTGTATTTGTATCTGCATATGCTCAGCACCCTGTCTAGCACATTCTAGGCTCTTAGTAGGTGCTTTTTCAATTCATTCACTCATTCATTCATACTACCTATATGACCTCTGGGCAAGTCACTCAATCTCTCCATGCCAGCCAGGAATTCTCTCAATACTCGAAGTTACACAAGAGTTGCTGACCTACATTGGTGGAGGGAGTCCTCACTCTGGGAGTTTCTACCCTGATATGATCATGGGTCTGGATATTACAGAAATGCACTGATAGGTGAAGGGTCTGTAATTTCCTCAGCACAAGGAACACTGGGGCGTGCAAACACCACCCCACCCCCACCCCCCACTGAAGATCATAGCTTGTCTATGACTTAGTAGATAAGCCCTAGGGAATTAATTAATTACCTTCATAAGGGATTCTGAGTGACTTATCTAACATCACACAACTACTAAGCTGTCAAAATTTAGTGGAATTTGGGGGCAGCGAGGTGGCACAGCGGATAGAGCACTGGCCCTGGATTCAGGAGGACCTGAGTTCAAATCCAGCCTCAGACACCTAACACTTACTAGCTGTGCGACCCTGGGCAAGTCACTTAACCCCATTGCCTAACCAAACAAAAAAAAATTAGCGGAATTTGAACACAGGTCTTATTGACTCCACGCCCAGAATTCTATCCACTACATGGAGAAGCCTCATTAACAATCAACAGTGACTTCAGAAAAGAAGTAACAAACATAGTAAATGACTCTCATTTCATTGTTGCCAATGTCACAAAGTTTACCTTAGCGCTAACGTGTAGCAGCCGGGCTGTCGCTGACTTTCTCTGAGAATATAGGCGCCCTCTGCACCCCCAAGAAGCTCATCAGCTTGCTCGCGAGAGATGATCCCGTGAAACCTACGAGAGGAGAACATTACAGCGCGAGCCACCAAGGTCAGAACGGAGCGCAACAGCTCAGGCTCACTTACGCATTGAGGCCGACAACAGCTGTGGGGAGGTGATGACCTGGGGCAGGTTCCCCACCCTCTGTCCTGGTAGGTCATGCTCTCAAGTGGGGGGGGGAATAGCTGTGAAGTCGAATCACCCCACCTGAGGTCTCCCTTGCTAACGGTGACAAAGACAGGGGAAGGGTCATCATCCCTGACCCATCCGGGCATTGACATGTTAGAGCAAGAGCCGGACGCTTCAAAGGTTCAGCTTCCAGCGTTGTTCCCCAGCTACGCTTCCTCCTGTGGCTAAACGCTGGGGTCCTTTAAGTACAGGTTTTTTCGCTGTGCCCCTTGAGCAATCCACTTCCCTGCTCTGAACCCCACTTCCCTCATCTTCCTTTTTGGTGAGGGAAGAGACTGATTCTCCTTGGCATTTGTATGTAGCACTTAATAAATGCTTATTGATTAATTGATTAGCAAAATGGGATAATGATATCAGTTGAGAGGGACAGCCTGAGGTATACTGACTCTGTGGGGGTGGGCAAGTCATTTAACTTCTCAACGGACACCCCCACCCCAATCCCCAACTCTCCAAGGCTTTTGGTTGCAGAACGGTTGCTCATCTGCATAGGCAGAAGAGTATTCCTCACTGGGAGTTTCCTACACCCTTAAAATGGACACCCACCCATGCCCAAGCAAGAAAACTGTCTGTATCCTCCCAGGAAATCGCTGATGGAGAAATAAGGACCCACTGTCCCCGCAGGGCGGCTTTTGCTGTTATCTTCCTTGACATCAGATTGAAAGCAGCATCAAAGGGCCAGAACACAATTCTTTTTTCCATTTCTGTAAAGATACCAAAGGCATGCGCGAGCTGTTCATCGGCCATCCCTCACTCTCAAAGCATGGCCAGCCCAGCATCTTTTTCAGTCTTTGGGGACATCCTGTCTCCTCAGTCTCCTGGGCAGTTTGTCCTTTGCAATGGGCTGCAGCCCGCCCCTACCCATCATGCACCTCTCCATCGCCCTTTGGGTGAGCCTCAACTTTAATTCTTCTGAGGCTAGAGTATTCATAACCTCACAGGAAGGATGTTGGTGTTAAAAACATGGGAGAAGTTTGGGGCTCATTAAATGTGTTATACGCTTTCTCAAAGGCAGTCCACTTTGCTGGCCTCCTGCTGCTCCACTCTGGACCCAGATCGTTTTTTCTGTGCAGCGCCTGCCTCACACATATGTACCGATAGACCTCTGCAGGTTGTCCCTCTAACTGCATACCATGGCCTGGAGAGCAGGCAAACACTATGATCCCATTAACGCAGCCCAAGGTCCCACCAGCTCCTCCCATGGTTGCCTCCTGTGAGTTTGTATTAAGTTGAAACCCCTTAGCTGTTTGCTGGTTCATTACAATCCTGAGGTCTTTTTGTGGTTAACTCAAACGCCAAGGTCTTCCTTCATATGAACACTTGTGCTGGGTCTCCTTCTTCTGTACCTGTTCAATTAATGTTTTGGAATCTAAATTCACAACTTTGTATCCAGCCTTGATCAATTCAGTCCTAGTTGTTTCAGCCCACTGTTGCAACTGGCTAAATTTTTTTTTTCCTCTGAATTCTGTAGTTTGAAACGGTGTTTTTTTTTTCTGTTAAAAGTAGGACTGTCTATCTAGGATAGGCTAAAGTGATTTTCCTCTAAGAACTGGTTTCTTGATCAAAAGTTAAGTTCCTGTAGGCAGCTAGATGTAACAACAGATCTCACCCTTGATCTTAAGTCAGGAAGATCTGAGTTCAAATCCTCCATTAGATGCTTACTAATTGTGTGACCCTGGGCAAGTCACTGACCCTCTCTCAGCCTCAGTTTCTTTATCTATAAAATGGGGATAGCACCTACTTCTTCAGGTTATTATGAGGACATATTTGTAAAGTACTTTACAAACTTTAAAGAGCTATATAAATACTAGCTGCTATGATTATTCTTCTTTCAAAGTGTGGGAAAGCATTCTATATCCTATTTGTACCTGTCACTGCATTATTGCAAGCTTAGTCAAATCTGCCTAGAAACTGCTAAGGTCAGAATTTGGTCTGGGGACATAAATAAGTTTTGGAGAATCCTTGGAACAGGCTCCTCCCATTCAAATTGTCTTGGATTCTCTTCTGTCCTATTAGCTCAATCCTCCAATGGGTCTATGGTCTCATCAGTTCAGGAGTTCCCTCCAGTGATGCAGACTGTGGTCCATTCCCCCTTGTTCTCCCATAGATGGCCCTTTCAGTGTGGTGGAGACCTTCTTTGCTTTCTCTGTGTTTCCAGGGTACCTGTCCACCCGCCTGTCAGCCTTCACTGTTGCTACATGACTTCTTGTCCTAGCCTGCCATCTTTTATTCCCAAAGAATTGGCTTTCCCTCCTAAAAGCATATCATCTGACATTTTGATGTGGGAGCCTTTGGTATCTTCATTCAAGTTGTTCAGAAACACGAGGGAATTCAGAACCTCAGCACTGGGGATCCCTGAAAGCAGCTGGGGATGCTAGGGAAGAGAAAGCTCATAGGGAGCATGAGAGCTGTCTCCAAGTATTTGAAGGGCTGCCATGACAGAGGGCAGACTTGTTCTACCTGGTCACAGAGAGGGGAATGAGCAGCCGGTGGGGGAGGGGGAAGTTGCAGGAAGGCAAATTTAGGTTTGATGTTAGGAAAACTCCTAAAAATGGAGCCTTCAGAAGGAGAATGGGCCACAGTGGGAGACAACATCGTCCTCCTCACCAGACGTCTCTAAACAAAAAATAGGCAAATAGGAAAATGTCAATAATCGCTGACCCACTGGATTACTTTCCAATCACTACAACATCTGTCTGAGAATAATCCAAAGATGGATTGAGGAGATCAAGAATGAAGGAAACAGCAAAATGCAGCGGAAAGAGAATTGGATGAGGAAGCAGAGAGAATCCTGTTCTGTCTGTGCCCCTCACTTGGGAACATCACTCAAAGACCCTTGGTTCTCCATTTCATCTTCTAAAATGGAGGGCGTGGCCTAAAGCCCCAACTCTGGAGTCAAAGGAGGTGGTGCCGATACACCCTCTGATACTGGCAAGCCAATCTCTCCCAGCCTCAGTTTCCTCAACTTTACAATGAATTTCAGGTCCTTTCATACTCTAGACCTGTGATTCTAGGATCAGCCTGCAGGGGCACTGCAGAGAATTCTTTGGTTCAGGTCGGAGCCAGAAGAAATAAAAGCTCCCTTTCCTATAGTGCTTCAGGGTTTGCAAAGATGCTTCGCTACTCAGTGGAGTTCTGCCCTGGTCATGCTGCCCTTGTGCCCCAAGATAGCTGATAAGATTGAATGGTAATAATTACTATTATAAAATTCTCATTTATTTAGTACTTTAAAGTTCACCCGAAGCAGCTAAGTGGTAGAGCAGATAGAGCAATGGGCCTGAAGATATGAAGATTCGAGTGCAAAACTTGCCTCAGATATTTATTAGCTGTGTGAGCCTGGGAAAGGTACTTAACCACTGCCTGCCTCAGTTTCCCTGATTGTAAAAAAGTGAACAACCTCCTGTGGTTGTTGTAGGGAAAACTGAAATCATACCATAAAGGACTTGGCACAGTAGCTGACACAAAACAGGTCCTTAATAAGCACTTGTTTCCTTCTCTTACGTACATTATTTCATTTAGGCCTCACAACCACTCCATATAGTTGGTGCTGTTATTATGATCCCCATTTTATAGGTAATAAAAAATAGAATTCATATGGAGCTTTAAGTTGTGAAAAGTATTTTACAAATATTGTCTCTTTTTATCCTCACAACAGGCTTAAGAAGTAGGTGATATTATAACCATTTTACAGATGAGGAAACTGAAGCAATCAGAGGTTACGTGACTCTCTCAATGTTACACAGCTAGTAAGTGTCTGAAGCTGAATTTGAACTCGGGTCTTTCTGACTCAGACCCAGCATTCTATCTACTGAACCACTTAACTGTCTTCGATGGCCTCTGAAGTCCCTAGAGTCAATGATAGCTACCTTCAGGTAAATAACCAGAAACGAGATGAAGCTCAAATGGAGAAATTCTGGTGACAACAGCATCTCCTTGGATATGGGTGCAGGAGTGGGGCCCCTGTATTCCTCTCCCACCTTCCTGCCTTCTAAAGACACTTTACTGGAACCATGGGCAGCTCTGATTAGACCAAAGGATTAGTCATGAACAAGTGATGATGTGAGATAAAACCCATGGAGGGCAGGCCTCCTTTATATGAAAACAAATCTTCCTGAGAAGAGGATGGGTCTGAGTTTACCGTGGTGTGTCAGTTGTATGGCCTTGCAGGTTAAACTCTGGGAGGTGTGGTGGGGTGCCCGAGTGATGCTCCAGGCTGAAAGTCAAGAGGCTGCATGGCCCGGGCTCAGGGCTCAAGGCCAGCTTTCAAACCCAAGTCATTTGAGGCTCTGGCTGAATTCTCCAAGGCCACAGCAGTGAGGTTATAAAAATGTAAGTGCTCTAATTAGAGAGAGGCTGCTGAGTTAGGACAGGTAAGTGGGCTATTAATCATGAAGGCACGACTGGCTGAGAGGAGGAGGGAGGGAAAGAAGCCCAGGGTTCAGCCTGAAACATGGACTTGAAGAGAAATTCCCCCATTAATTCCCAAAGGGTAGAGCTAAGAGGGCAAGTGATGAAGGATGCTCTTGACTCTTTGGTGGAGCTTGGGCTGGCTCTATGGTTCTAGCACCCCAATGTGACTGAGAGGGGCACATAATACTAATTGTATTCACTCACATTTATTCGGTATTTTAAGATTTGCAAAAAACTTTACATGCCTGATCTTCTGAGGTAGCTAGGTAGTAGAGTAGACATGGACACGGACCTGAAGACAGGAGAGACCTGAGTTCAAATCTTGCCTCAGACTCTCAGCTGCACGGCGGTGGCCAAGTCACTTCACATCTCGGGAACAGCTTCTTTATCCTTAAAAAATAAGGGAGGGTCACCCCTGATATCCCCTAAGGTCCCATTCCAGCTCCAAATCTATGATTTAATGCTCAATTCATCCTCATAACAACCTAGTGAGGGAAGTGTCATTATTATTGTTACTTACTATTATTGTTAACATCATTGTCATTATTACTTGTAATAATAGTAGCTAGAATTCAATTATCCTTATTTAAAATAATAATAGCTAGCATTTTTATAGCTCTTGAAGGTTTCCAAAATGCTTTACATAAATTATCTCACTTCATCCTCAACACTCTGCAAAGTGGGGGCTACCATTACACCCATTTCATAGGTGAGGAAACCAAGGATCAAAAATTCAGTGACTTGCTCAAGGTCACAGCCAATAAGTGTCTGAGGAGAGGAATTGAACCCAGAGTCGCTGATTCCAAGCCCCTCTCCAGTGGGTCACACTGGGGGCAACATAGAGGCGGACAACATGAAACCAAAAAGCTTCTGCACAAAGTTAATGCACCTAGGAAGAAGGGAAGTAATTCAGTGGGAAAAGAACAATCTTTGTAACAAAATTCTCCGATAAGGGTTTGGTATTCAAGATATATAAATAATTAACAGACTTCATATATGTGTGTATGTATAGAAGACAATTCATATATATGTATGTGTACATATCCATGTATACTCACACACACACAAATCCTGTGAAGTGGTTGCTTTATTTGAATTTGCACTACATACTTCCATTGGATTGGGACTACGTAATTATAACTTCAAATAATGCAAATTTAAAGACATTTGACCATTTCATGGAATTCCCTATTCATACTAATTGGGACATAGCTGTATATATGTGTGCATGTGTATGTGTGTGTATGAAACGGAAAGCTATTCTCCAAGAAGTATTTAAAAAGTACGAGCAAATAGGTCTCAAGAACGCAAACTATTCACAATCATATGGAAGAATAAGCCAAATCATCCAGAGAGAAATGCAAATCAAATGAACCCTCAGAGTTCACCTTGTATCCTGGAAATTGGCAAAGACAACAAAAGATGAAACCGATCAGTGTCAGAGGGGATGTAGGATGAGACGTACACTAGTACACTGTTGGTGAAGCTGTGCATCGGTATAACCATTTTGGAAACCAATATGGAATTACGCAAATAAAGTGATGAAAATGTCTATGTCCTTTGACCCAGAGACTCCATTACTGGCCTTCTGTCCCATGGACGCCATTGATAAGAAGAAAGTCCCCATATATACCAAAATATTTATAGCAGCATATAGCAGTTCCAATCAGAGCACTTAACATTTTTTTAACCTCAGTCATGTGGCCTTGGAGAATTCAGCTACAGCCTCAAATGGCTTGGGTTTGAAAGCTGGCCTTGAGCCCTGAGCCCCAGGCCATGAATCCTCCTGACTTCTGTTTTATTTCTTCTCTTTTTATACGAGGAAAGAATTGGAAACAAACAAAATAGATGCCCATTGATTCAGTAATGGCTAAGTACATAGTGGTATGTGAATAAATGAATGGAATATTATTGTGCTATAGGAAATGACAAATGGGATGAATACAGAGAAACATGGAAAGATCTACATCAAATGATGCTAAGTGAAGTTAGCAGAGCTAAGAAAACAATATACACAATGATTATGACAATGTAAACAGAGAGAACAACACAACATAAAAACAAAAGAAAAAGCTGCAAAATTATAAGGAATAAGCATGGCTCAAAAGAAGAAATATGAAGAGAGACCGCTATGCCTCCCCTTTATAGGAAAGGAGGTCCATAAGTATTGTACATTATACATATTTTTAGACTTTTTCAATATATTGATCAGTTATGCTGATTTTTTCCTCTTCTTCGTCCAACTCCTCCTCCTCCTTCTTCTTCTTTCTTTTTCTTCTTCTTCTTCTTCTTCTTCCTCTCTCTCTCTCTCTCTTTCTCTCTCTCTCTGCCTCCCTCCCTCCCTCCCTCTCTCTGTCATCTTTAGAAAAGTAGTATTTGCTATATGGGATGCTAGGGGTGGGAAAGGAAGAACAAGGATATTTATGGTGATGTAAAAACAAGACATCGATTTAAAAAAACCATAAAAAACCACACAAAGGCCAGCACCCAGTGTCTATTTTAGCAGGTACCAGCTGAAATGTCAGGAAACAACTTCCTAGCAATCAGAGCCATGAGAAAGTGAATGAGCCTTCCTGGAAGGCATGGACTTCCCCCTCCTTAAGAATCTTAAGCAAAAGCTGCCAGATTGAACACCTGCAGACTGCTGTTGCTGGGGAAGCAAATGGAGATACTGAGTGGAAAAGGAAAGGGAGGGAAAGGAAAAGAATGTTATTAAGGCAAGCCAAGGGAAACCTTGATTTGGGTCTTATACGGTTACATGGTAGTGACGAGGCTTTTTCTGATCATCCCATCTTCCATCGGCTGAACAGATCATGAGATCATAAGATTCAGGGCTAGAAGGGAACTCAGATGCCATTTTGTCCTCCTATGTTCTCATTTTACAGAAGAGGAAACTGAAGCCTTGGGAGGTTGAATTTCCTTCCTAAGGTCACACAGGTCCTACACAGGTGTACAAATAGGTTTTGAACCCAGGTCTTGGGACTCCAGAGTCAGGACTCTTTCCCCCATATCATGCGATTCCCATTGCTCTCCTGACTCTGCATTCCTCTGTACAAGTCCCCAAGAGGAAACTGAGGCTCAAAGAGGTGCGGTGATCTGCCCAAGGTCATACAGACAGCAAGCGTCAGAGGTGGAATCTCCATTGATTTAACTGCACTTAGACAATCCAGAGTTTTACATTAAATTTGAGTGAAAATGAAATAAAGGATTACTATCAGCCCTCAGTTATGGTACAGGGGCCATATTAAAGTCCAGAGGTAGACAACACTCAGTCATTGCCCATTTTGAAAGTAACCTGACATGAAGCATTTCCCCTTCCAACATTAATGGAAAGAGAACCAGCACCTGCATGCCATAAAGTAAATTTAGTACAAAGAAGTCTGATTACATTTACTCTTGATTGTTAGTTTCTTATAGTACGGCCACTGTGAAAAGAACCCATAAATTCTAGGATATTTCAATATTTAAGAACATACTGTATGACACACCGACTGATTACATTTTAAGTTATTAAAATAAAAAAAAAACAGTATAATACGTACTCTCTTCCATAATATTTTGGTCTGTTCTCCACCTATATTGAGAGAGAGAGAGAGAGAGAGAGAGAGAGAAAGAGAGAGAGAGAGATCCATTAATAATGCATTGGAATTCAAATCAGGGAGATTAAAATACCATTGAAGTAAACAAGGCAAGAATTCCAATGGCAACTTGATCACATTAAGGATCTATGGACTTTTTATACAGCTGACTGTAAAAAGAATGAAAAATATAACATGAGCAGCTTTGTTATTGAGTCATTTTTTCAGTCGTGTCTGACTCTTTGTGACTCCATTTGGGGTTTTCTTGACAGAAATACTGGAGTGGTTTTGTCATTTCCTTCTCCAGCTCATTTTACAGATGAGGAAACTGAGGCAAACAGGGCTAAGTGACTTGCCCAGGTTCACACAGCTAGTAAATACCTGAGGCCAGATCTGAACTCACAAAAAGGAGCCTTACTAACTGTAAGCCCCACATTCCATCCACTGCTCCACCTAGCTGCCAACCTGAGCAGCTTACAGATGCAGAATCAGGATGGTGGGAAGCTGTCATGGACCTAAGGAGCCCCTTTCCCTTGCCTCTGAACAGGGCTGCCTAAAAGGAGCTGTTTGTCTTCTAAAAATTAGACTAGAATCATTCAAGGAAAATAGAACACCACAATTAATGTCCCTTTCATTTCAACAGGAAAAAAAGGATAATTATATTCAATTATTAACTTGATTTTATAGAATAAAATCCAAATTGTTCAAGCATAAATAAAACTTAAGTATCTATTTCATTTTTCATCTGATTTTTCCATTATAAATTCACAACCAAACATGGCAATAATGTTTTTGTTCATGTTAATACTGGTGTTTCACTCATTTTATTTTACCTTATTTTCACTATATTTTATTTTTTTTTTTGTAATTCTTTTCATTATTGCTACCTTTTATTTTAGACCATGGTGCTTCTCTTTAACCCATCCCTACAATGGAAAGCCTTCCTAGCAACAAAGAAAAAGCATCTAAACAAAGCCATTTGATACAATGACCACACTTGATTATGTATATCGCATTCCGTATCCCTCCCCACCATTGAAAGCGGGAAGGTATGTTTCCTTATGAGGTTTCCAGGACCAAGATGGTTGGTTATAATTCATTAGAGTTCAACTGCTTTTTAGGGTTAGGATTTACATGATCACCATCATTGCCCAGATCGCTGCGACATTGTAGGCTCCCAGACTGAGGCCTAGAGGGGGCCTGTCTTGGTCAATCCTCTTATTCTACAGAAGAGGAAACTGAAGTCATAAAAGGTTACATTCCTTTCTAAAGGTCACGTAGGTCCTACACAGGTGTAGAGAGGTTTTGAACTCAGGTCTTGGGACTCCAGAGTCAGGGCTCACCCCCCCCCCCGTGTCACATGGATTCCACTGCTCTCCTGCCTCTCCTTTCCTCACTCTGCATCCCTATGTACAAATCTCCCCACATTTCTCTGCATTCCAGAGTATTCATCCTTTCTTATAGCACAGTCACATTCAATTATGTTATAGGAGCAGAGATTTAGACTTGGAAGGACCTCAGGGATCATCGCGTCCAACATCCTCACTCTATAGCCAAGGAAACCGAGGTCAGAGTGGTTAAGTTACTTGCCCAAGGCCACAGATGGGGCCAAAGATGTGGAGGGATGAGATCTGAACCCAGGTCATCAGACTCAAAATCCAAAGTATTCCCCTCTGATGTTACTGCCTCCCTATCTAGAAATGCCTCCACCACTAAAGCTTAATTCATGCCCAGCAGAAAGTGGGATGGGGATTACCCTGGTAAAGGGAAACCACTGAAGAAAGAAGGGGCTGAAGGCTCTAAAGATGAATGTCTCAACTTCATGAAATCACGGAGGGAAACCTTGCTTCCCAGAAACAACCAACATACACACTCATCATCTAGGCATTTGCAAATATGTACTCATTTTCCTGTGCATATTATGAGGAGAAACTGCTGAGCCACAAGAGGGATTTATGGTCCTGCATATCCAAAGTACTGATGCTTGTTTGCTCAGCTTCATTTGGAGAGGGAGCGAGATCTAAATAGAATCATGGACAGACAGATGTAGCAATTTCCACGGAGGCATTTAGTTCATCACCTGATTTCTCCCCTTGCCAGGAATGTCTTACTAGAGAGTGGAGAGTAAATGGGGAACTCATTTGCATTTGAAACTCTTTTTCAAACTCTTTTTTCATTTCAAACTCTTTCATTTGTATCACCTGATTGATTTTTAAGGTTCTGTCATCCTCTGATGAACCTGTCATTTTTTATTCCCCACTAAAAGAGATGTCTGTGACAATAAGGTATTGTGGAAATTCAAATAAAGGAAAGCCAAGAACTGCAGATATTTGCACATATCTTGAGGTAAGTAGCTTGGTCAATGTTTTTAGAATATTAGCACCTGCTTTGCTTCCTAGTATGGTATTTTGCACATAAGACACTCAATAAGTGACTGCCAAATTTAATCAAGGCACTTCTTCACCTGCTCTCCCCCCCCACCTCAAATAAGCATGACTCCCCCTTCCAGTGAATTTGTGGAAAAGATAACCCACTTTCTTATGGTCAATAATTTAAACTTCAAGTGATTTCAGCTAAGGGGGCATGAGCGCTATCTTTCTAAATTTAAAGCCCTTCCTTCACAATCCGGCTCCAGTCTGCCTTTTCTGACTCATTCTACATGCAGCCCCTTCCCTCTCCAACACTATGGTCCAGTCAAACTGACCTACGTCATATTCATTCTCCCATCTCCATGCCTTTTCTCAGGCTCTTGCCTATTCTGGGATGTACTCCCTCCTCACCTCTGCCTCACCAAATCCCTAGCTACCTTCAAACTTCTGCTCAAGACTACCTCTTCCATGAGGCCTTTCTTAATTCCTCAAGGATGTTAGTACCCACTCCCCCTGAAAACTACAGTGTGTTTACTTTGTATGTAGATGTGCATATAGAACGCAAGCTATTTGAGGGCAGGGACAACAGTCTCTTTTTTGTCTTTTGACTTTGCAGTACCTACTGTAGTGCCAAACACATAGTAGGTGCTTTAAAATGCTTGCTGATTAATCAATTAAATGAGCCATAAAACATAAGCCAATTCTGTCTCCTTTTATTCTCCTCTTTGCTTCAATGTAAAAGATGACCAAGTGATCTTGAAGACTATTGGTTGCTTTTCCTTAGCTAATTATTCAATTGACAAGTATCTATTGTGAACTGACTATGCTCAAGACATCATGCTAGGTGTTATTCATGAGTCAAGAGCAGGTCTATGGATGGGGGCAGGGACAAGGTCAATAGAATGCTGGTATTTTTGACACAAGGAAAGATTTGAAGATTTGTTGACATGGACAGAGAGAGTGGGGTTGGGAGTTGAAGGGAAAGCAGATGATTTTGAGGTCAATGTCATGCTATTGATTTACATTGAGCTGCCTGGTCATTAAAAACCCTGGGTCTTTTTTCACAAGAATTGCTGGCTAGCCACATCTGCTCCACCCTGTACTTGTAAAGTTGACTTTCTGAACCCAAGTGGAAAGACTTTGTCTTTATGTTGTATTTGCTGTTCCTCATACACAGCACTCTATCTCTTGACTGTGCATTTGTCCTGCCAGGCTGTTCCCCATACTCTCCCTCCTCACCTCCCATGCCTATCTTCCCAGGCTTCCTTGAAGTCCCAGCTAAAATCCAGTCTTTTGACAGAAGTCTTTCCCTAGTCCCAGCCCCAGAAAGCATTCCCCTAACATTACCTTTCAATTACACTGTATGTACGTAGTTGTTTCTCCCATTAGACTGTGAGCTCTCTGAGGGCAGAGACTGCTTTTTGCCCTTCTTTGTATCCACAAAGCTTAGCACAATGCCTGGCAGATAGTAAACATTTTAAAAATGCTTGTTAACTGACTATTAATTTTTGTCTTATTAGACTCATCCCATATAACCACACCCATGTATATATGTAAATGCATACATATATATACCAACATATTTCAGTTGTGACCATTTTTTCTTTATATCCCAGCATTTAGGATAGTGCTGGAAACCCAGTAGACACTTACTAGATGCTTCTTGAATGAATGAATGAATGAATGAATAAATGAATGAATGAATGCCTGACATTGACCTGAAATGCCATCAAAGAATGAAAAAATAATTTGAAGAGCTAACAAAAAAATTTTGGTAAACAACACTTTGCCACAGGAAACCATTCAAGAAAAATCTACGAAGGCAAATAAATTCCTGGGGGAACTGAGGAAAGAGAAAGATCAGTGTGGATGGGTTTGAGCGATCTGGGAAGTTGATAATATAATGAGGAGCTGATAATATAATGGAAAAAAACCTGAGAGTGTCTGCCTACAGGGAGCTTGTTGTGTGCATGTGTGGGAGTGTAGAAGTGAGAGCAGATTTGAACTTAGGTCTTACTGATTCTAGAGCCAGTGCTATATCTACTTTGTCACCTAGCTACTTCTGCTGTTAAATGAAAACTATATTTAGACAGAAGGGAAGATTAATCTGTAAATGAGTTTATTTTTTTTGTAAGGTTATTCCCGTAAAGGTAAATGCAAACTCATGTTCAATGAAAGGTAATTTAATGAAGATTGCTGAGTCCTCTGTAAACAAAGTTTCCTATTATTGAAAAAGACAGTTTTTCTAATCTCTCAGTAGCTGGTAAATGTTAAGTTTTCATCTACTAGAATTCATTAAAAAGGAAAAAAAACAAATTTTAAAGCCTTTTACATACACCAGCTAGAGCACCGATTTTCCCTCAGAATTCATTAAGTGGAGTGGAGATGTTTTTGAATCGAGCTTAGACTTATGAATGTTGAGTCAATTTAATTCTGAGGGAAAATATGAGGATTTCACTTCAAATTAGAAATTCTGGTTCCATCTTGAGGATGGGAGAAAAGGAAGGGACAGAATGGTAAATTACACACTAGAGACACAGTAACTCAGTCTGGAATGAAAACGTGCAAAACCTAAAACTGATTGTTTGCTTTTCACCCAGAATCTGCTTCTTGTTTTTCTTCAGACC